GCCATGCGCGTGGTGAAGTGCTTCAGGTTGGAGTGGCTTGTCCGCATGGACAGGGTTCAGGGTTTAGGATTGCCTATTGCGATATTTTTGGAGGCATGTCCGGATTAGGGTTTAGGGTTTAACTTCGGAAGTGTTCTAACTGTTATTCCTTAAACCCCAAACCCCAAACCCCTAAACATACCCTAAACCTCTAAACCCCTAAACCCCTAAACCCCTAAACCCCTAAACCCTAAATCCCTAAACCCTTAAATCCCTAACTAAACCCCTTAACCCCTACACCCTAAATCCTATAGTATCATGACGGCAGTTCTCTACGGCACTCTTACAAAAAGGACCCTAAAAGGGACCCTAATTAGACAACTACGCAGGAAGAGGAAGAGACCCTAAACCCTAAACCCTAAACCCTGAACCCTAAACCTTAAACCCTAAACCCTAAACCCTACCCATGAAGAGGAGGAGACCCTAAACCCTAAACCCTAAACCCTAAACCCTACCCATGAAGAGGAAGAGACCGAATGCCCAGGGCCATGGCTTTGGAGATGCTCGAAGAAGCTGGGCTTTGGAGTACCATACTTTAATACTTTTTTGGGGACCTGTTCCTTAAAGGACCCATTATGAAATAAAAGTCTATACTTTTTTAAAAGCCCAGGAAGCAAGGGAGGCGGAGCTCTCGGCGCAGTGGGGGAAGCGGAAGGCAGGGCCCCCACGTTTCAAGGGTTTAGGGTTTAGGGTTTAGGGTTTAGGATTTAGGGCTCCAGGGTTTTAGGGTTTAGGGTTTAGGGTTTAGGGTTTAGGGTTTAGGGTTTAGGATTTAGGGCTCCAGGGTTTTAGGGTTTTAGGGTTTAGGAAGTTTGGGGTTTTAGGGTTTAGGAAGTTTAGGGTGTTCTTTTATTTAAGGGCTCCTTTCATGGGTGTTTATACTGCTATAGCACTTTTTCAAGGGTTCCTTCAAGGGTTCCATAACCCTTTTAAAAGGTTCCTGTCAGGGTTCGTTGAGTTTATGGATGCTTCCTTGAATGAGAGATGCTGTTGCGGGGAGCGGGTTATGGTCTGGGGTTTGGGGTTTAGGGATCCTGGATCGGGTATTGTGCCATTTCGGGTTGATTGCGGGACCGCCTTGTTTTCCTCAAGCTCCAGAGCCTTTTTGAGCCTGGCAAGGTTTTTCCCTTCAACAACTTCCTGGGTAGCACCGTTAGCCTCTTCGGGACCATCGCCGCCTTCGCAGCTGGGCAAAAGCACGGCCGAACCTTCAGGTGTTTGTTTCAAGTTGGGCTATAGCTTATAGGACCCTAAACCCTAAACCCCAAACCCTCAATCCTAAACCCTAAACCCTAAACCCTGAACCAAAAACCCCCAAAAGGAGCCCATAGGCCAAAGTGGTTACTGTTTAGAGTTTAGGGCTTGGGGTTTGTTTAAATTTAGGGGCTTAGGGCTTCCGCTAAAGCTATAGGCCTTGCTAAAGGAGGATTGGGTTTCCTAGGAAGGCACCAAGGTTTGGAGTTTCGGGTTTAGGGTTTAGGGTTTAGAGGTTTAGGGTTTCGGGTTTAGCGTTGCGGGTTTTAGGGTTTAGGGTTGAAGGTGTGACTCCTACAGGAATCTCCCCGAGGAACCCTTACAGGAAACCTTGTGGGCAAAAGCCCCTGTTGTAGAAACCGTTCAGGGAACCCTGATTGTAGCCCCTAAGGGAGCAATTGTAAGCAACTTTTTGGGAAACCCTGTCGGAAACCTGAAAGCAACCTTAATTTTTTAGGAGCCCTTACGGGAACCCTGACAAGAGCTCTATAAACCATAAATGCTGCAGCCCAATCTGTAAACCCTCGTTGTAGGAACCCTGGTAGAATAGAACCCATTTCTTAGGAGCCCATAATCCTACACCCGACACCCTAAGCCCTAAGCCCTCAAAACAACCCCTAAACTCGTATAAACAAATCCTTCAAGGATCCTTAATCCTTAAACTCCTATAAAGAAAAAGCCGTAAAGGATCCCTTAAAGAAACACCCCGAAAGGAACCCTAAACCCTAAACCTTTATAAAGAAAGCCTTACAGGATCCCTTCAAGAAACCCTCTCGAAAGGAACCCTAATCCCTAAACCCTTATAAAGAAAGCCTTACAGGATCCCTTAAAGAAACCCTCTCGAAAGGAACCCTAAACCCTAAACCCCTATGAATAAAGCTTTAAAGGATCCCTTAAAGAAACCTTCTCGCGAGGAACCCTAAACCCTAAACCCCTATAAAGAAAGCCTTAGAAACCCTCTCGAAAGGAACCCTAGCCCTAAACCCTAAACCCCAATGAATAAAGCCTTAAAGGATCCCTTAAAGAAACCCCTCGAAAGGAACCCTAATCGCTAAACCCCTATAAAGGACCCCAAAGCCGAAACCCTGAATCCGATCTCCTAAACCCAGAGCCTTAAAGGATCCCTTAAAGAAACCCCTCGAAAGGAACCCTAATCCCTAAACCC